CCTGGAGACAGACGCGTCAGACACAGCTTCCAACGTTCCCGATCCTGTGCCAGAGTCTGAGCTTCGGCAGAAGACAACTTGAGTCTCTGGCAACTCAAGACTCCTTCCATACATTTGCACCATCTTGGCTGAACCCATGAACACGTCAACGATGTTCAGAGACAGAAGGCTGACACGGTCGATCATATGCTCAAAAAGCGACCAGCCTTCACTAGCTTGCCATTCACTGACAAGAGAGCAGAAACACAGCTAACAAAATACCGGTGCTAACCGTCATACAAAACCCAGAAAACAGCTCTTCTTATTAAAATGTGAATGGTCTGCAGGCAAGAGCTGATGCAGGTGGAACAAGCCCCTACAGTGAGCTGAAGCATGATTTTGTTCAAACGTTTATTCCATGCCATTAGGGCTAAAGCTGTAAGACTTTTGATGATGACCCCCAGTATTTCAACATTGCTACCGCACTACGCGATTGGATTCTTGATGTCAGGTAGAATTTCTAAGTCTGAAAAGCTTCGCTCCAGCTGGATTTCTCTGTTAAGCTTAAACCAGTTAGCTAACCCTAAATTTATCCTCTGCTCTACAATTAACCACCTTCACCGGAAAGATCATGCGGTCATCCCAATAGCTCAGTATCTGAAAGGCAGTGTCGAAAGTAACTGTTGATGGCTAGCAAAGAACTCAATCGTCGTGCAAGTTCAGTTCGCTACTAACCTCGCAATAAGTCCTGACATGCTTTGGCAGTGTTGTTATTTGAGAGGTGATTACTGATCAGCATGGATTTAAATACATACAATGTAAAATCGGTCTATTCAAGCAATTCTGATTTATAAAATACTGGATTTATGGTTATCGAACTGAATCCTCATTCTTAGGCCACAAAATATTCCCCTTCCCAGCGTTCCAGCCGGATGAAGTTCCTTCTTTATGTCCTGTTATCAGATTCGAAGCTCCAGTTTCTACATGAATTTGGTTATCCATATTATATCCTCCAGATTGAGAAGTCGTAGCTATGATGGTTTTGGTACGCTTAGCGAATGCTTTCAGATTATTAGCCGAAAATGTTTTTACTTGCTCACCCGACAGGCTGAAGACCCTTGGGACGACAAACAGCGACCTGATTCAACAGCCTCGACGACTTTATTCCAGATTTGGGTTTTCTTCTGCCACTGCTCAGATGCTGGCGCTAAACCAGCATAGTTCGAGACTCTGCGGTCCCAAAGACCATGTGGTCATCAAAACTGACTGAGTGAAATTAAATGCTATCAGTCCATCCATTTTCACAGTCGGCCATTCATTTCAGATCTTTGAAGCAACAACCTGTGGAACTTTCTTCAATGATTTGGGTCTTTCTCGAATGAGCAAGACCATCGGGATACATTCAAAGGTACAACAACATAAATTGGTCGATACTCAAATCATCTAGATCTCGACTTGTTTTTCGAGTGTCCTCCATGGAACGTTGCTTCAGACTAATGTAAGACGCCATTTCTGAAGGTCAGGCGTAATAAATCTCGGCTTATCGACTGTTCGAGCTTCGTGTGCCCTGAGTAACGACAGCAGAAAGGAACAAAACAAATAATGAAGCTCTGTTAAAAAAAAAGTCCGCTTTGAGAGAATCTACCTCGGCACGCGATTCACATGTTCAAATCATTGGACTTTCGATCCCGTCAGTCGGGAACGAGAAAAACAGGCTCACAAGCTAAGCTGACTCACATTTCCATGTTTCTAGACGTCTGCCGTCATTTAAGCAATCCCTACAAACTGTCTCGTATTTCTTCAAAAAAGGGCTTCACATAATTGGCTTCGAAATTCAGCCAGAATCAATAGCGGAACTTTACTACAAGCACTCGTATTAACTTAGGACTTTTTTAAATTTGTTTAAACTCAGTACTCCATCAGTATTCGCTGACTTCTGCATCTGATTGATAATTGCGTGTATTTAAACTGATACAATAATTTTTAAAGATTTTGTCGATTTTGACAAACACACAGACATTTCTGAATTTTCTCTTACTAAACAGAAGTTCAAAGAACTGTAAGTAATGATTTCATACTTTCCAATTTCCGACATTAGGCTCCCACTGGTGATGTCGTCCCCGAGGACCCTTTTCTGGCGTGCTGTCTTTTTCCTCCGTTCATAACGGGTAGCGACTTCGTTGCTGACTGGTGTCTTCCTCAGCCGTTGTTGTGCTGTTACGCCCTGGGCTGACAGAGGGCGGTGAGCAGATCCCGATGGCCGACTTTTCGCACTCCGCCTCAGTCCCCCCCCCCATCCCCACCCAACAGCCTACGCGGCCCTTGGTAGCCCGGGCGACGACCGAACCGGTATAATTTTCGATGGCGTCAATACCATGGATGGCAGGTGGCTGAATTTTACAGAGACCTGACACGGCCTCCAGTCCTCCTCCTTTCCCATCCGAGCATGGGACCGGCATCGGCAGAGTTTACAACCATAACAATCTTCTTAAGCTCAGAGGTTGACGGCAAGAAGTACAATTTTGCACTATTCTTGTTTCACGGCATTTGCTGTTATTTTCTCAGATTTCACCTTCTTGATTTCTTCACATCCTTCCACTGATCTGGTTCTGGTCTTCGAAGCAGTCACCCTCTTTTCTGAGTCAGTGGTTGAAATGAAATTGCCATGTTTTCTGTCAGGATTAAAAGTACACTTATTTGGTCTAGCAACCTTCCATCAAATGCCTAACCACCTTCCTCAGAGCTGAGGTCCACTAGGCCTTCTGATAGCAAAGCTGATTGTGTCTCTAATTTCACTCAGATCTGTCTGACATGAAACCAAGGTACGCTAACTGCGCGATTTACGGATGAGGGTCAGCTGCTGGGATACAATGCACTGCCAAATTGACACCTGTAAGTTAAGAGGTCAAAATTTAAACATACGTACGATTCTTGGCTAAATGAAGTGAAATAAAGGGATGTCATTAACCTACAACGGTCGACTAAAGGGAACAATGCATTCATGGAAGAGTTCGTCCGCCGCTCGACAAATTTTGTCTAACCTCAAATAATACAGATGTATTAATGTCTATGATGTCCTAATTTGTCCTATCTACAGTTTTCCTTGAAGGAATCACTGTTAATTGTTTCTAACACGGATTCCAACCAGAGCTAAGGATAACAATAATGAATGACCCTAGTTATTGAAAGATGGGTCGCAATCAAATGTCCCGCCTTCGGCACATGTTTCTAATGGCCGAATTAGAGTCTTTCTGCGAACCATACCCTTCTGTGATCCAATTTTAGATCGCCTTCAGAAAGAGGTCATTTGAAATTGTATGATCTGACGGTCGTTAAGCTCTTCTTTCCTTTTTTTGTGACGTCATTCATAGTGGTATGGAATGACTCATCCAGCTTTTAATTGACCATTAAGGTTGTCAAAAGCAATTAGCGTATAAGCATAGATATTTCTCCTATTTTTGCTTCTTGTCCCAACGAATTTGCATGTGCTACAGCTACAGGTCTAATACTCAAAAAGTTTAGATTCTTTACCCTCCTTCATAAGCTTCAAAATATGTCTATACATATCTGCTCAGATATTCGCACGTATAAATCAAAACAGGTTCTTTCATCTTCTGTTTGAGGTACCTTTAAGAGAAAATAACCATTCGCATCTGAAAGAATGGAGCAACACTGATCCGAGGGAAGTAGACAACCAAAATTAAAGACGAAGGACCTGACCGAAATATAAGGGGAATGAGAGGAAAATTTGGCACCGGTAGCACAAGCGTACAAGAGGATCATATCAGAAACCTAAAGAAGTATTTAGGGGGTCATATGGTGATTAACTGAAACACATGAAACGTGAATGACGCCAAAGAAACAACTGGACGCAGAGGGGGTAAAGAAGCATCGTTCATACAAGCATGCGAATGTCTGAACAGAGGC